CTATGCTGCCATAAAAAAGAAGGAATTCTCATCATTTGCAGCAACCTGGATGGAATTGGAGACCATCATGCTGAGTGAAATAAGCCAATCAATGAAAGAGAAACACCACATGACCTCACTCATTTATGGATAATAAAGAACATTAAAAACCGATGAACCAAAAGATAGATATAGAGACAGTAAAGCAACAAGCAGACTGTCAAATTACAGCAGGTAGGGTAGGGAGATCTGGGGGAGATAATAGATCAACCAAAGGACTTGTATACATGCATATAAGTACAACCAATGGACATAAAACTCTGGGGAGGGAGGGTATGTATGGGAGGGGGGGGGCCAATGTTAAAATATGTACACAGATAATAATTTAATTAAAAAAATAGCAACAAAAAAATAAAATAAAACAAAATAACTGAGGAAAAACAAAGAAATATCGTTATCTTATCTAAAGACTATCTGATCTAAAGACTTTCAAAATTCATCCTAGCAAGCAGTTCTTGGTGGTTCTTAATACTCCAAGTCCTCGAGAACAATTCATAGTTGCGTGTGAGTACTTTAAAACAACCATACAGGATTCCAGAGTAGCAGTTTGTCTGAGTTTTAGGCATGCATGTTATAGTTTTCTGAGCATCTAGAAAGTACTTTTTGGAACTCTCACACATATTCTCACACACACACAGACATGCACACATACACACCCTTCCACGGAACAAACATTAATTTTCAAAAACATTAATTTTTAAATGAGCAAGGGCAGCATATTTCTAACTGTCCCTTCTTCCCTTATTTGCAAGTTGTTTCTTTCATAATGGAGATTGAACTTCAATGTTATTCTCGGGGAAGACAGTGTGCAATACTTGAGAAATGTTTCTTAATGACTCCAGCTAAAGAAATGTATAGCCGAATGTCTCATGTTTTCAAGTGAAAAGTCCTTTCACATTTTTAGACAAAGACTATACTGAAGACTTAAATTTGAGGATGATTATCTGTAAGAGTAGAGGTGGTGGGGACTTTCTCAGGTATGTGTATGGTGAAGAGGGAGAGTATTTGCCCAGGCCTTTAACTCTACTGAATATGACAAGGAGTGGACAAATTTTAGGAAGGAAAGAGTTGAGTTGGGCAGGCAAGGTAGAGGCAAGCAACAGTATTTTTTTTTTTCCTGTGGGGAAAAAAGTTCTTATTTTAAGGTTAAATTACATTATACTTGGGTTCAGTAAAGTAAGTGTAATAAGCTTCACTTATGCTTTCTTTCTGCAGGGTTGCCCAACTGCAGGCAATCCATTCACACAGTGTTCTTTATTAAGAACATCCCTTGGAGCCCAATGCTATTTATAGTGATTACCATGTGAATGTGCCCTCTGGAGCTGGTAGTGGCAGCCTCCTTTAGAATAGCAATAACTGTAATTCTCATGTAAATTATTTGTAATTTTCTTTTCTTTGGAGAGACATCCAAAATCAACCTTTTCCTTCAGTTGATGCTAAGTCAGATTCCTTTTCTCAAAGTTTTCACAGAACTCATCACACTATCAAAAGTTGGTGGGTCTGCTTGTCAGTTTCCCCTCTTAAGCCTGAGCTCAGGTTTTAACTCCTGTGCCAGTAGTTCCAAGCACAGTGTCTGGCACAAAGGAAGTCTTCAGTAAATGATTCTTGGAATTAAAAGTAAATAATTTTCCATTAAATATACCTAATTGCCTTGCAATTTTTTTCTTCCTAATTTTACTGTTGTCAATTTAGTTCACAAGAATGCACTGTGCTCCTATTTTATTAAATTAAATATCTGCTTGAAGTAGCATATTAAAAATTAAGCTTAGTTAAATCTCAATTTCCATTCAATAAGTTGCTCATTGCTGTTTCTCATATTAGCTTGGTTCAATGGTTAGATAGCAATTAACATGAATGCTTAATGACTACTTTCCTATTCTGATATAATACTAATGATATGGTTTAAAGTGCTTTAGGGTTAATTGCAGATGCTCATAATTTGCCTACTCTTGACTAGCAGTACATTCTTACACCTCAGAATATGATGAGTACTCCAGACCTGTGTAGGAAGAATGCTGGTCTACAAAGGCTCAACAATTGACATTATTAACCCTTCAGTTATCTCAACTCACCTACATTATTTCTAAATCTCTACTTTATCATCAATGGTGGGGGGGGGGGGAAGATTCCTTTGAAACATGACCTAAACTCTAGTGTTTTGTAATAATAGAAAATAAGATATTGTCTTGAGCAACTATTATTTACCCATAGGAATTTATGGGATGAGGTAGTGGATCTTGCTTTCCCCATCTACCTCTCTCTTTTCAATTTGCCTCCACCCATGCTGCTTCTTTGGAGGCCATTTAAACATTGGTTTCTTCCGTATATAATTCACTGATTCTAAGGTAGCTGGGTAAGTCATTGGTGCATATTATACAGAGCAAGTTGTTAGACAAAATTTCTCTCTTCCTCCTTTGGTGACCCTAACAGTAGCATTATAACCATCATAGGCAATTTCTATATTCTCATATATTCTTCATTCAAATAAGAAAAGTTTAAAATAAAGGCTATAGTTAGATTCCTCTTGTCATTTCAAAAATTCAGTTTTCTTTGTAAATATTCCCATGAATAGATCCCAGTTCAATTGTAAACCATTGCATTGTGTCATGTATCTTTTTTGTTTTGACACAACAGAGAGCAGTATAGAGTCCACAGGAAGCATTTAGCGATTATCATAAACACAGTGTTTAGGTAAAAATAGTATGTATTTATCTTGTTGAATTACACAGCTTACCTATTCATTCTAGAATTAATATAATTGTCACATATAATTGCAAAACAAAACTGGAATGCAATTGACAATTTTATTATACTCCTTTAGCGATTGTAATAAAAAGTTTAATACTCTTGTCATGATGGTGTGTTGATATAATTCAACAAAATGGTTCAAAGGGGTGCTTTGCACAAGCCAACTTCAGGGAAGACATCTAAGAGCAAGAGGAGCCAGAAGTCACCTTGAAGATAAACAATAAATTTACAAATCCAAAATTTAGTGAATCAGAAAGATCTTAATTATTCTTGGATTTTGAAATTCTCTAGAATATTGCATTGAATTTAACTCATATCCAAAATGAAAGTAACTCTCATCTTGTGACTCCTCTGTGCCTTCTTTAGTACCTATATTATTATAATAGGAGCTTAATAAATACTTGTGGATTAATGTTGACTGAATTAGGAGGGACATAGCTATGGACACCACCATCACTACAAAACCATGCTACAAATTAAATTAAACTGCTTTATTTAATTTCAGAAACTGATTGGGGAATAAGAAACTGGCAACCTTTAAAAACATATCCCAGAATGGGTAATGATGATGTCATTTTGTGGGTCACTTTATTATGCTTTATTTTTGTGCATGAATTCAACATTTTATAATAACTACTAAAGTGTATTTAATTATATAGAGATAAAATTTTCACACAAAAAAATTCAAATGACTTGCAAGTGGAACTTTTGTTTATACTTGATTAAATTGTTTTGTCCTTATGTTTCATGGCATTTATTGCCTTTGAATAAAGATACTAATTTTAATTTACTCTTAGCACACTTCAAGAAATATAATTTAAAGTTGATGAGTAACCAAGATATTGTGTCCGGAATGCAGAAATATTTACTTTTCATGGAGTGCAAATTAGTTGGATATGAAGATTTTCTAGAACATAGATATGAATTTTCAATAAAATCTTAAGCAATGTGTTTGAAAGGGCAAGCATTAATAAATATAATTTGTTGCTCATTCAAATATTTGTTTTCAAGTTCCCTTACCATTTCCCTGTACCTCAGATGAATGATTCACTCAGATTACCAGTCTAATTTAGAAATCCATTCCATTGAGTATCTTAGACTTAATTTTTATGAAAGTCTATTTTATAACTTCTCTATTTACATTGTTCAGATCCATTTAACTTGAGTATTTTGTCACTTAGAGTAATAACTCATCAATCTGTTAGTGCAACCTTTCTTTGTGTTACTTTTCTTAGTGCTATGAAATGTGCTATTTTGAATCCCTGAAATGTTATAAACCACCAGATTGCTAATTGCTTTCGGTGCTGTGAAAAATAATTACTCCACATTATTTTTGATATTTAATTGACAGTGTAATGCATTTAACTAAAGAGCCGCAATAAACTATTTCTAATTACTGAGAGTGCTGAAGTGGAAAAGTAGGCTGTAAAACTTTACAGGGAAAGAATGTTTTTTTCATTATGTTAAAAGACATTGTTGATATAGCTTTCTCAAAGCCAAAAGAAGAAAAATTCCCCCAAATGGGAAGTTCTGGAAAGCTAGGTTTGTGGAATATTTTTACTCATGAGATAATAAGGAGATTTTAAATATCATTATTTTAATGGATTGTACTGGTGATCAATGTAATATACAAAGTTTACCATGTTTGACCTAAATTTTATCCTTCTTTAGTTGGAAGAACTTTATAAGGGAGATAATAATGCCATTGCCAAAATGAGTAATTTTCGTCACTGGCCTGTGTTCGATTCATTCTGTATCTGTAGGCCAATCAGCTGAAAAAGCTATGTCAAATTTTTGGTGTCATTGAAATATGGAAATATATAGGAAACTGGGTCTGTTCTTAGCTCCCACGCTAAGAATTTCATGTTATAAACTGATCCCTGGAAATAACACTTAGAACCGGATGAAAGAAATGTCCACAGTCAAGAAGAGTCACAAATTGGGATGTACATTTAGGCTCTTTGAATATACCTGTAAAGCTTCATTCCCCTGTGGCTCTGGGATGTTATTAATAACCAGCATAGTCTTCTTTTCCTCCCCATAACCTCTGGTTAAAATAAAATGTTCTCCATTGGTATTTTATTAAATTGCTTATTTAATTTCAATCATGTTCATTTTCCAAAAACAGACAACTAAAATACATGACTTGTTTCAGGGACTGTAAATTATTTTCAGAATTTCAGGAATTGAAAAGGGATAAGAGGAAGGAGAAAATGCTGGGCTGGTGCGAAGCGATAGCCCGTAACCCTCACAGAATCCCAAACAACACGCGAACTCCCGAGATCTCAGGGGATTTGACTGATGCCTCACAAACCTCCACATTGGTGAGTGAAAAGTTACTTTACCTCAAAATAGCTTTTATGTGAATTGAAGGCTAAGGAAATGGGGAGAGGAATGACTAAGAACACATTATTTTTGTTTACAGCAGTATATGCATTTGTATTTTATTGTCCGTATAGATTCAGTTTTGTGAATGGATATTAATAGAAATATCTTAATGTCGTATAATAATCATGTTTGATTCAGATTAAAATTTTTTTCCCTATTTCTTTGTTCTTCCATTATGTTAGGGATGATAAAGAGATATTTAAAATTTGATCTTGTATTCTATACTTGTGTAATGGAATCAATGGAATAAAATGAAACAATGAAAAACAAGAATCATATTTTTTAATATATATTCCAAAAATGTCTGGAAAGGGGATTCAAAAATTTTAATTTTATATAAAATTATGAGTTAAGTAATTGCAAAAGTGATTGGAAGGCAATTAAATAATATGCTTTTTTTAGTTTAATTTTCAGCTTTAGGTTTAATTGCTTAGCTTCAGTTAGCCATTATTTCCCAGTGATTAGGAAAAGAAAACTCAATAGCAAAAGAATCTTTTAAAAGCTCTTTGTTCAGGTTTTGGCTATAATGTTCTTCATTTTGATTTAAAGAAGGAAAATTCTATTTAGTCTCTCTGTTTTATTTCAACATAAGACATATATTATAATTGTTTTACCATTTCGTAAAGGCACCAGTGTTTTTATTAGCCTAATGCAGGGGTCTGCACCCTTTAAGACATAAAGAGCCACTTGGACCCATTTCCGAAGGAAAAAAAAACCTGGGAGCCGCAAAACCATTGCGACATTTAAAACAAATATAACATTGCATATATTGTTTCTTACCTTAATGCTATATACCAGATCATGCAGTTAGCTGTCAATCTGAAGAAAAAAAGGACTTTTTCACTTGACAATGTAAAATATATTTTTGCAAATTAATAGCTAATTAAAATATTTAATTTACCTGGTTAATGGGATTTTTGCTCCTGAACCTCAGTGCACAATGTCAGCACATCAGGGCTGTAAGATATTACCTTCATTTTCACACAGGCTTGCAAGTTGTCGGAGCCGCGGCAAAGCTTCAAAAGAGCTGCATGTGGCTCCGGAGCTGCAGGTTGCTGACACCTGGCCTAATGTATTAGTTGATCTACACCAATAAACGAGAAACACACAAATTGACTGTACCTTCACAACACCCACCAGCCAATCAGGAGTGAGTATGCAAATTAACCCAACCACTATATAGGGTTAATTTGCATACACAGGTGCTGAGTGGAAGGGGGCTGGATGGCATTGACACAGGCATTCTGTACCACCCCAGCTGCTCTGGGCCTCTGGGCAGCATGGTAAAGCAGAAAGGCAACTCTAGGCTGGAGCCTAGGTGGTGCCAGCAGCCAGGGGAAGAAAGGCCCATTCTTGCATGAATCTTCATGCATCAGTCCTCTAGTGAATGCATAATTAAATATGAACAAAAAGTTTAGGTTTGCTTTTAACTTTGGAGTCATTTGATAATTTCTATTACTTTTACATAGAAATAGTAATCTTTTGCAGATATTGTTGAGTGGCTATCAAGAGAAAAACATCTCAAGGAATAGGCTTTCAGATGACAAAACATAGAAGGGGAGTCTTCCTTAAATTTCAGTATCTTAGATTGTGGGAAAAGGCTGAGCATCTGGAGAAATGTATACACAATGATTAGATAAAGTTCTGTGACATAAATTCTTTGAAATTATCATTTGTCCCGTTTCATCTCACTCATCTATAAATTATTTCCAATAAGACTGCTTAGAATGAGTTAACACAGTTAAAACCCATGTTACACAATATTTATTCATGTAGTTAGACTTTGTCAGGTATCATGTGTAGCTAAAAATTTTTAAATGACTTCTTTGCTTTCATTACAGTGGCTTTAGTGCTTAATTCTTGTTTCATAGAACCATAGATCAAACCATAAAAAATCTTGAGCAAACATTTGGCCTGGATTTCTCTTATAATTAAGTAACGTAATATTAGCTTCATTTTATAGATGTATAAAAACTGTGGCCCAGAGAAATTAATTGGCTCCACAAGTGTCACTTAACTAGTAAATGATAAAAGAGTTACTTGAAGCCAGGTTTCTCAAACTAAGGCTTTTTCTGCTGTACCACACTATCTCACTGTCTGGATGGCATTTTCTTCCTATTCAAATACTTTGAATAGAAAGAAGAAAACATCAAGTTACCAATTTTATTAAATATAGTAATTAATCTTTAAAATCTAATGCTGTGTTAGGGATAAACATCAGCCACTGTAACATAACCTCGAAAAATTCTTTTTTTAAAACATGAACAAATCAAGTATTCCTTTCTCATGTCATAGCCCATGTCTCTTAGGCAGCACTCCTCAATGTTTCAATGTCAAATGATGATTCAAAGATATAGATTCCTTTCATCTTTTGCCACTGCCTTCTTTTAAGCCCATGGCCTCTTGACTCACTGAGGAAAGGGTAGAGACCACATGAGCCATTGTGCATGGACTATTATAGAGCAGACTTGAATGTGTGGACATCCTTTCATTGCAAAGAACCTAGTCTCATGGCCTCATCTGAACTGTAAAGGAGGCAGGTAAATGTTAGGCAGCTGGGTAGCCAGGAAAAGCAGGTGGAATTGATGAGCATCCCCTTTCCGCCACAGTCCACCTTTTTATTTGCTAAATATTCATGTCATATTTCCACTCTCTCCTGAAAAAGATTTATTACATTCCAAGAGAGATAACTAAAAAATTTCAGTCTGTGAGCTCTACTTATTCATTGTCCTCATCAAATGATGATCATACCAAAACCCCTATGAATAAATTATTTGTATTTTGCACCAGTTCTGACCGTGCATTCGAATATACTGTTAAGGAGTAGGAAGAGGGAAACCACAATAAACACTCCTGCTGGGAAAGAAAGAAATGAGATACACGTGAAAAACAAAGGTGGAATCCTACTGAACAGACATTGTAAAGTCTTTCTAACCCAGAGGTCAGGGAGGATCCTAGAAGAGGTTTGCCCATCTCCCATGTCCATGGTTCTCACCAGCCTCTTGCCATGCCCGGTCTGGGAAGTTCTTCCTTTTATGCTATTCTTTTTGTCCACATTTCAAGTGCCTATTGAGGGTTGCATAGCCTTAAGTATTGTTCCTGTTAGGGGAACATTATGGAACTGAGTTGTTTTCAGTCTTAAATATTTTAAGACTAATAATGCTGAGATTGTGGTATTTTACAGCTATAATCCTCTGAAATATTTATAAGGTTCTGACCTATTGGCTTCCACATAGTCATGTGCCTCGAAGAGTCCTTTTTTGGGTGCCCTTGACTTCCTCTTCTCCCATGTTTCTCTCTCAAGATGCTATTGTCTTGAAAAATAGGCAAAATATTATCTTAAAAAATAGGCAAGATATTATCTTTAAAAATCTGATGAGATCATTTGTTCAATTGAGAAATTTTACTTCAGCTCTAAATCTCTTATTTGCCTTCAGTCACTTTGTTAAGTTTATAAATTTTATTTACAAAGTTCTCTAATATTATTAGCTATCAATTAACTTTATTACTTAGTATTTATTAAGTCTGTTAATTTTATTAAGGTTTATATTTCAGCTCAAGTCACTTTATTCAAATGTAAATTTTTTAATCCTCTCCTGAGGATCTGCTTTTATTGATTTGAGAGAGAGAGAAAAGGAGAGGGGGAGAAACTTCGATGTGAGAAACATCAATCCGTTGCTTCCCAAAGATGCCTCCACAGGGACTGAACCCATGACCTGGATATGTGCACTGACTTGGCATCAGCACCCAGTCTCTTTCTTTTGGTTGCAGGATGAGCCACACTGGCCAGGGCAATTCATATGTGAATTTTTATTGGACCTTCTTTACTCCACACTTACGTCAGTGTCATGTCCCACTGATTGGGGTTTAGAAGAAGCCAGCATCTCAAAACAGAACTTAGAATAGACTGAGGACTGAGTGATATTAGCTTAGTAATCAGAGTGAAAATTAAGAATGGATACTATAAAAAATAAACTCAGAAATTTCAACAGCCTAATGTGATACAGGTTTGCTTTTGCACCTAGCTCAGTCTAGTACAGGACATTTGAATCTCCAGGAATGAATGCAGGGAACCCTGTTTTTCCCATCTCTTGGGGCCGTTATCTTGAATACAGGGCCTCTGAGTAGATCAGGTAAGGGAAAGAACATGATGGGATCATTGGAGATACTTGTTAGGTTTGAAAGTTAGTGCATCACGTCTGCCCTGGTGCCATTGACTGGAAACCAGTGACATACCCCACTGTATCTGTGAGAATGATGGGAAATAAAATATAGTCTTCCTGAATGTCCATAATATCGAAATTGAGAGCATTTAGCCAGTCTCTACCACAGATGCATTTTTTTCTTTGACAGGTAGTATTTGGTCCTGCATTTCCATTCTGAATACACATGCTTTTATTGTTATTCCTCCACTGTCAACCAGAGCATTTAAGGTTTTCCTGTACAGATCACAGCCCATTTAATATGAAGATTCGAAGGGGGGATGTGGAGAGGGGTGAGATGAAGAGGGAGAGGAAGAAGAGGAAGATCAGGATGATGACTGATTAAGTAGTAGGAGCTTTTCCAAGTATTTTACACATATCCTCATTTTTTTAATGCTCACAAGAATCTAATGAAATATGTGTGATCATTATCCCTATCTTATATAACAAAAGCCTAATGAGCTAAGTGTCTGGTTGCCATTCAAACAGTCTAATATGCTAATGATATGCTAAGGCAGCTCAATGCTCACTATGATGTGCACTGACCACCAGAGGGCAGATGTTCTGACCAGTAGGTTAGCTTGCTGCTTCAGGGTCCAGCTGATTGGGACTGGGTGACAAAGGCTGGACATGCCCCAGAGCCCTTCCATAGTCCCTCCCAGGCTGGCCAACCTCCCACGTCTCTCTGCGGCCCTGATCATGATCTAGTGGGGTCCCTCAGCCTGAACTGCACC